AGTAGTTCTATAGTTCTTGAAAGGGAAAAAGTAAGCTCTGCAAAATTTCGCCGAAAAAACATTTTTTTCGAAAACGATACATTTTTGGAAAAATAAAAATTAAAACTGCAGAAAAAAGAAAATTCTTTAAAACTACTAACCAATTTTTCTTATTTTTTCTTTTGAAATACATTTAAAATAAAAATTAAGACTGTTCTGAGCAGCTTTTCAATAGAGTTCATGAAAAGGAAAAACAGTTCGGCAAAATTACACCGAAAAAGGCTTTTTTTTTCAAAAAAGTCGAAAAAGCTTACTTTAAAAAAAAAAAATAAAACTGTTCTGAATAGCTTTTTAATAGTTCTAGAGTTCCTGGAGAGGAAAAAAAGTTCTACAAGATTACACCGAAAAAAAATTTTTTTCGAAAAAGTCGGAAAAGTTAAATGTTAAAAAAAATTAAAATTGAAACTGTTCTGAGTAGATATACATACAACTAAAGTTCCTGAAAAGGAAAAAAAAGTTCTGCAAAATTACTCCGAAAAAGGCATTTTTTCAAAAAAAGTTAAAAAAAATAAATTTTGTGTCAAAGTATCCAGAACTTTTTTTCTTTTCAAGAACTCTAGAACCGTTATAAAGCTACGACAGCCTTTTTCTCGTGTTATTGCGTCATACCGTATAATTCACAGACATCTCAGAATTATCGTTGATTTTTGCGATTTTTTCGCCGATTTCGCATTACAAGTTCCGTGAAAGCTATAAATGTATATACATATACATGCACGTTTACAAGATTCATCTCTGCATCGTTGCACTCGTTTTAAAAATAGAAGCTATAATTTCCTTATTACCTGTCCCAATATTTTCATCAATACTGTAAATACTTGTAAAACAAACAAAGAAATTAGGTATTAATAAAATTCAATTTTTTCCATATCTTTGCAGTTGTTCTACTTCTTGGGTTTCAAATTTAGTGTTAAAAACGTGAACAGTTAATCAAACTGTAAATAAAATAATTGTATTGGATAAATTTAGTATTTTAATGGAAAAAATATCTTAAACGCACTAGCAAAACTTAACTACACAGGATAAAACGACATAAATAGAGGTTTAAAAATTTGAATCGCAAGCTTAAGTTGTATAAGCAAACTTAAGAGCAAAATTAAAAAATTATTAATTACCAGTTATGAAAAACTCCAACCAAGTTGAGAAATAAAATTTAAAAATAAAAAAGAAATGCGAACAAAAAACAGAGCGAAACTATAAAATCAAAAGGAGGCGCCGATAGCATCAAAAAATAAATAAAAAAATAAAACTCGTAAATAATACGAATGACGCGTGAAACTGTTGCTGCAGCAGCGTTACAAATCGACGGACATACAACGACAGCTGACAGCAACACATGTCTGAGTAGACAGGCAACAACAACAACAACAGCTAAAACAGCAACACCAATTGCCCCAGCTTTGGCAGTGAGGACGAAACGTGAAAATCGCTTGCGAGGACATTTGTCGAAATTGAATTCGACAACGGCTACAATAACAAAAGCAACCACAAATTGTTACAACTCGTTACGAACGCGATACGGCGCGTCCAACAACATTTTTGAAAACAATAACGACGACGACGAGTAGACGCGGCGATTTTATTGTATTGCATTAAGATTGCAAAGAATTTTTGCATTGCATTGGGTTAGCGAATACAAATGAAAACGTCGCTTGTGAACGCGTCCGATTTCGACTACTCCAGTCGCCCCGTACAGTACGAGGGCGAACAACGGCGCGTACTACAGCAATACGAGCAGCAGTCTCAGCTGCAACAGCAGCATCAGGAGCGATTGCAAGCAGCGCAAGACGACGAACAGGAACGAGAACGAGAGCAGCAACAACGCAAACATCAATCGCCATTTGTGCAGCAACATCATTATCAACAACAATATTTGCGTCCGCATCGTTATCACGACGACAATCAGTCGCAACAGAGACAACAAAAGCAGCAGAAGCAGACATCGCGACAACAACGCCAACAGGAAAGTTCTGCCGTTGCCACATCGACAATTGTCTATCAACCATCCTCATCGCGTTTAAAGCACTCGCCAAGTAGGTTTGCTGACGCTGAACAAGAACAACAACAACAACAACAACAACAACAACAACAGCAGCAGCAGCAGCAGCGACAACAATACATTGACAGCCGTGAAAGTACAGTCAACACTGCTGAGGTTGTAGTAGAGAGCAGCAGCGACGATAACGCAAACGGCGATCACAATTCGGCACAGAGTGTAATTTATATTGAAGATAGTAATTGCGATCAGCTTCAGGATCAGCGCCAGCCGCTGAAAGAGAGCAACGGCGGCGATAATTGTGGCGTCAGCAGCAAATTTGTGAATAACCTAAACGAGACAAGTGTTGTTACTTCGACGAAGAAGCAGCAGCAGCAAGCGTCAACGATACGCTATTCATCCTCATCCTCCTCCGCAGCGGCAGCAGCAGCGTCGAGTAAATATCAACAGCAGCAGCAGCAACGTCAGCTGCAGAAGTTATCGAGCAAACGCAAGCGCGAGAAAGGTGAGTGCCCACAAACAAAAAAACAAAAAAAAAATGGACTAATAATCATACAATGTATATATCTCCGTACGTAAACAGCGATTGATTAAAAAAAGCGCAGATTAATATATGCACATTAGGGTGGTCCTAAAGTCAAGAAGGAATTTTAATGCTCTCGCCACCTAAGATTGTTCTACATTGAAAAAAATGTGCCCGATTTTTTTTTTTTAAATCAAAAAAATTAGAGCTCGCTCAAAACGCTCAAAGTTTTCCATGTATTTTTTATGGGAGAAAAACAACTTTTCGTAGAAATGGCATAGAGGAAAATCAATATTTTTCAATGGAAAAACTTTTGTTCTCTTCAGGAGACTTCCAATAATACCCAATACTTAAGATTTTTTTTATTGGTCCCGCCATTGTATTTTCTGGGTTTTTTGGCGGATCTGCAAAATATAGTTTCTATAAAAAAAAAGGTTACATAAACAAATGGATATTATTACTGAGAATCTCCTGAAAAGAAACAGAGTTTTCCGATCGAAAAATATTGATTTTCAAAAATTCTATACCATTTCTACGAAAAGTTGTTTTTTCCCATATAAAATATGTACCCTGCAAACAATTTCTTCAGAGTATTCTGAAATGTAGAGAAATTTAAAAGAATTCGTAGAGATCTCATCCGATTTGTTGCCGAATTTTCTAAAATAAACTAAACTGTGAACACTTCAATTCTTTTACGAAATTTCGGAAGAAAATCGGTAAAGCCATGAAAATAATGCTGTTTTGTGATTTTCTTAATTTTTCGTACAGAAATCTCTTTACGAGTTCGTGTCAACCACTTCATATAATTTTCTTTGAAGATTCGTAAAAAAATCGTTACAGAAATTAGATGCTACTAAAGATTTCGTTAAGATTTCGGGAACTTTGGTTTGGGTATGTACATGGAAAACTTTGAGCGCTTTGAGCGACCTCTAAATATTTTTAAGAATTCAAAATAAAAAATAGGATATATATTTGTCAATTTAGAACAATCCTATGGGGTGAGAGCATAAAAATACCGACCTTTCTTTTTTTACGTGCATTTTTGGGTCACTCTAATGTACATAGTATGTACGACTGGTACAATTTAAAATTTGATAAATCGCAATTTCATTCCGAAAAAATTGCCCCGTGTCTTTTATTGCATTGCCAACGGCAAGAGGGGCGCACGTGTACCAATACTTGCACATCTTGAACTGTGCGAAAGTAAAGCGCAATCAGAAAAGTATTAAAACATTTATTACATTGTAAATGCAATAATTAAGAATTCGGATTAAAATTTAAAAGTAATTGATTATGTGTGAAAGCAAAAAATAATCTACATTCATTTGCATTGCGTTTACACCCGCCGGCCGCCATTATTTTTCTCTCATTGTGCAGTGACGATCACAGTGAAATCATGCAATCATGTATATATGTACGTATGTATTTATGTATGTACATCAGGGTGCCTTGCCAAAAATAGTTGCATTTGCTACCGGAATTATAGAGTTTATTATATTTTAAGACATCAACCAAAATATTTCGGAAAAATGTTAAGATTTACATACATGAGCTGGACCAAATTAGAAATACCTAAAAAAATCTTCCTTTTTTGATTCCCTTAATGGGTACAATTTTAAACATTTTTATGCAGACTCGGATCTTTGAACTCGTAATCATCTGTGGTGATTTAGTAAAAATATATATATATATATATATTTTTAAAACTAATTTTATTTATAAAAAGACTCGATTTTTTGGAGTCATTTTCAAATCGATACAGCTCACGCAAATCTGAATATTTTTCTAAAATATTTTGCCTGAAGTCTCAAAATATAGTAGATTTTATAATTCCGATGGACACAAAGAAAGCGCGCTGCATCCTAATGTAGGTACATACCTTGCTACAAGAGTGCTTAATTTAAATGTTTATTTAAATCCAGCTTAAAGTTGTAACGGGTTTCTTCATTTACTCTCCGATTGATGCAAATTGGAATGGCTAAGTGCAGTCGTTCATTTTTACATTGTGTTATTGCTTTGTTTGTAGCTGTCTCTTGTGGGAACTGACAATACCAAGCAGTGCTCAATTATTATTTTACGCGGTGATTTTTTAGAATAAAGTGTTCAATGAGTTCTCAAAGAAGCCTAAAAATTTTTAGAGCATGCTAACGCGCACAATATCTGCAGAGAACTGGAGTTCTAGGGATACCATGGAAAAAATTTATGATTTTTATCACTACTGACCATGGCCGAAAAAATGTGGAGATCATTGAAATGAAATTTGGAATATTGTATGTCGTTTTCTGTGTTTGGTTTCCAGAGTTTTCACATAACGTCTTCGCTTCCCAATATTTAGTAAAGTTAGTTTTCCTTTGTCTTTATAGAATTCTGTAAACCTCTTTGGATTTGCGTTAGACAAAAGTATTGGGAGAAATGTTGTGGGAGCATGTTTGAAAGAATGCGGACTGAATGGCAATCCGACAAAAAGGCACGATTCTCCTTACGAGGAAAACTAAAATTTCCAGGTGCCACCTGCTGGAGGCTTTTGTTTTTTGCTCTGCATAATAGACATCGGAACAAAAATATGCTATCAATTTGATATCAATCGGTTAAATAGGTTTCGAGTCTGTAAGCTACATATACACACCTATGAATGTAGTGCGAAAACACTAAAGCTGGTTTTAAAAAATGTCAGAATCGAATTTTATCAAGTAACAATTTTTCAAGCGCCTAATCGCTTTTCGTACCCTTTCGGTTATGAAAGCGTGTAATTGTGATCGCTTCATATAATACGCTCGAACAAAAGAGAACAGTTCATTCCATAGAATAACGCCGTGCGATAGTAAAATTTACACTCAGGAAAATATACTCGCGAAACTAGGAACCAAATTTAGAAAAAGATATGACTAATTCAAAAAATTATGGGTAACAAACAGAAGTGAAAATTCTGTAGAATTGGAAAAGATTAATTTTGTTTTTTGTGCACAAGGTATTGAAAATATGCTTTGAAAATTTTATCCTTGATTATACTTGAAAATTTTCAATATTTATTTTTGGAAAAATCATAGCCAAAGGACCAATATATACACGAGCACATCCTCGAATTTCGTCTTTCTAACTTTATTAGTGTAGAATAAAAAAATTGTTTAAAACGACATTCTCAATTCCTATTCTTCCTTTTTTGTGAACCGAAAAAAAAGAAGATAGTTTTTTTAATTGCCACAGAATTTTCTTTTTCATTTGGTACCGATATTGTTATTCTACACTGCACTGATTTTTTTAAAAATGAAATTTCGAAGTCCTCTTAGAAAAATCTGACGTCAGGCCCTAGTCTCGTAAGTATATTGATGGCTTCCTGTGTTTTGAAAAATTTGGTTTTTTTTTGGGATGGTGGTACAAAAATATGTAGATAAAAACTGTATAGTTGCATTTTTTGCAGCGTACATAAGCAATTGTGGTAAAGACGATCGCATTTTTTCGGAACGTCCCCTTTACGACTCGTGACATTAATGCCCCTCTAAAGCTGCTTTGCATTTTATTGTGATAAATTTCCAAGTCCAATAAGAAGCAAAAAAATTAAAATAAAAAAAAATGCTGTGATAGTATTGTATGTTATTTACTGTTCAAAGCGCAATGTTAGTTAAAAATTTTGTTATTGTAAACGCTCGATTGATAATACGAAATGGCAGCAGCTATGTAAGTACATAATGGACGATTGTTTGATTGGGCTAAACACATACATATGTATCGTTGTGTGTATGTACATTTGTACATATGTAAGGGATACGTGTACTTGATAATGTTATTTTTATTTTTTCATATTCTTATTCGTGTGGCTTTGCGGCTAGTTGCCGGCTTCTTTGTTGCCATAAAATGTTTTATGCCATATCTCAACGACTTTGTTTGACTTAAATTTTTATCTTATTTTTACTTAGTATTTATTGTGGTCATATATGTATGTATGTATTTTATATGGGAAATTTTTGTCTGCTTTACACAAATTTTGTTTATTGCGACTTGGTTTCTATCTTCGTTCGCCAATCGTTTGTATTCGCATCCGTCAATCACCTACTTCGTACATATGTACAGTAATCGGTTTTCTTTTCCCCCGACTTTTTATTTCATTGCCCTACACAATCTCCTCGTGGCATATAGGCTGCTCTGTTTCGCTGGTTAGTTCTGGATTTTGTTTGTTTGCTTTCGAGAAGGCACGTTTTCCAAATACATGCATATATATATATAGATACTAGTACTGCGTACATTAGGGCGGGTCGATTTTTTCTACTATAGGCGTATAGCATAGGAGGATTGTACGTGTAATTCTAAGCAAATTTGTCGAAGAAATCATGGGTCTAAAATATATATTCCTCATACCAAAAACCTCTTATAGGATGCTTTTATACAAAATTTAAGCACTTCTTTACGGCACTACCGCAAAATGCTAAGTAAATGAAGCCTATTTTCGCAATTCGGCAAACTCCTTATTGATTTTAGAACCGTCCTATGCTATACGCCTAAAGTCGAAAAAATCTGCCATACAAATTGACCCGCCCTAGTGTACACACTTACTATGTACTTCTGAAAATGTGTGCCTATGCACATGTTGTATGTATCTGCCACGACGGCAACAATCGTCGTTTTTATTTATTTATGTTTTTTATTTTATTTTTGTTCATTTTAGTTGTTTTTTTTTTAAATGCTTTATTGTGGCGCTTGTTTTGATAGAAGGTACCTCTTGCGCTGTTTTTTTTCGCATGACCTGATATGTCTGTGCGAGAAATCGGTTTGTTTACTTAGTATCATCATTAGCCGAGTGCTTATATGTACATATGTATTTCGTATTTTTCCCCATTACTTGTATTATATCTTTCTATTTTTGGGTTTCTATTGTGTTTACTCTCTTTTTGTTGTTTGTTTTAATGTACAACATTTTATTACTTATAGCGCTGGTAATTTTTCCCTCTTTAATATTACATGCGCTAAATATGCTTATGTCTTCATTT